CGTGCCTCCCTCTCTCTCTCTCTCTCTCTCTCTTCGTGCCTCCCTCCCTCTCTCTCTCTCCGTGCCTCCCTCCCTCTCTCTCTCTCCCTTTCCCTTTTTAAAATATGTATTATGATTTTTTAAAATTATTATTATTATTATTATTATTATTATTATTATTATTATTATTATTTGTTGTAGGCACCTTTGGAGAAATCAGATAGAAAACCAAATGAAACAGATGTTTGGAATCGCAGTTCTACTACTAAGCCGCTTGAAAGAACTACTCCTGAGAATTCTGCTTCCACTATTACTACATCTGCTGCAGGTCAAGCTAGATTTTCTGAACAACCTAGCAGCAAACCTTGGGCAGATCAGATTCCACCAGATGATAATACAGCTCCACCTAGTGCTGCAGTTCCTGAAGAGAAATCCATTGTACCTATTGATTCCATCAAAAAGGATGTGGAGAAAGATGTTTTAAACAGTAAGTTGTCTTTAAATTAATTGATTTTTCTAGGTTTCTGCTGGCTTTTTTTTTTTTTTTCTAGGTGATAATAGTTTCTGCTGGATAATTCTTTTTCAAGTAAGTAGCCATTCCTGTAGTTGAAATTTACCTAACAATCTGTTACTTTGTAGTTACAAATTGGTTCAATTATTTTTTTATTTGGCATCCTGGTATTTTATTATGTATTTATTATGTGAAGAGTGTGAACATCTAAGAACATTTAACAAAAAAATTGAATTTACTGTGTAATATATTAACTTCCAGAATGTAATTGATGAACTGCATGGTGTGAATTTCTTGTTGCATATTTAAAATTTCCTGCTATTATACTATCAACTCTAGGGCATGCTCTCATCTGTTTAGGAGGTTGTCCTCTGGAACATTCTGTTATTCTTCTAGAATTCCTGTCAGGCAGACATAAGAATTTTCTGTCTGGCAGAAATAGTTCGTAACACTGTCTCCTGGTCCTACTTGTCCTTAGGATATTCTATAGGATTGAGATTGAATGATTCTGCAGCTCTTCCAGTGTTAAACTTGGCAGTTTGATGTTGGTTTTGGGTCTTAGGTTGGTACAATGGTTCTTTCATGATTCTGTAGATGTGCTGCAAAGTTGCTGGCATTTTTACTTCATGTCACATCTTGGCGAGAACAGTGCCATACAGTAAAACACTGTTTTTATTCCTGCATTATACTTTTTCCTGCCTATTATGTAATTTTTATGTGTCGGATCTTAAAAACTATATTTACAATGCATTATTTTCCTGCAATTTTGGACTTGATATGAAGAGTGCTTCCTGTCTTTTGTGTAATTTTTTAAATATTTTTTTTAACTTTCTCGCCTGTGTGTGTATTATACCAATATAGAAAAAGGATGTTCAAGTTTGTTATAAATTACTGCTTATGTATGTAGCGGTGAATGCAAAGCCTTGAGTACGTTCAGATCGTGGAATATCAATTTTGGAGAAAATCAGCTGAAGGGTTCAGGCACTAGATAACCGCAGGTAGACAAACAAATGTTTTGCTGTCAATTGATTTTTTGTTATCAAGGACTCTCTCAACATGGATTTTAGCTACACTAAGTGTTGAGGAATTGATGTACTTTAAACAGGAACATGATTTATCAAATTTCTTGTTACTAGGACCTGACAATAAGTTTTTCTGTCTAAAACTTACCATTTTCTAGTGCAGGATTATAATATTTTCTCTTCTTACGAACCACCATTCCAGTAAATAATGTACTTACATAGTCTACCATTTTTTAACTTTCCTAAATTTTACTTTCTCCTAAACTGTTATTTGATATTTTTTTGATTATTGGATCAGCAGTTTCCAAAAAAGTAAATTTAAATTCAGTTAATGGTCATAAATATATTTCAAATACTTTTTGCTAAAGGGTGATGATATTCGTAATTTTTGCAGTCTGAGGCACCACATACTGAAGTATCTAAGTAGTCTCATTTGTGCTAGTTTCTAATCTCTGTTCATCTGTGTTTTGGAATCATGGTGACAAGTCCGGAGGTAATTTTGAATAATTGCAATTTGTTTCCCCTAACGTCCTTTATAATTATTCTATTGGTTCTATTATGTTTCTGGATTTTTTTTTCTAGTTCTTATGTGTCATATCACAATCTTTTTGCATAGATTGCAACATTTTGGCACTTGTTCTATTATATCTCCTATAACGATCTAATTTTCTTTCTTTGGTTCTATGTGAAGATATGATGATGTCACTTTTTCTGGCTATTTTATGGAGTTAAATTTTCTTGTAATGTGTAAACTATTACTGGGTCATCTCTGTAGGGTATAGTTTGTATAATTTATTTTCTTAAGGTATACATGGTACCAAATTGGTTCCATGTCTTTAGCATGTGATTGGCATTGATTTGAAAAAGTGTGTGATAATCCACATAGTTTCAGTCCTGTTTGTTTCAAAAGCTTCTGTGGTGGTCTAGTCACTCTTTTAATCTTTATTGTTGAGTCTGAATACAATCTTTGAATAAATGGTGAAACGTCAATTGAGGTATATAGTAAGGTTAACATAGGTGGAATTATGTTAATAGAAATGTGGGAATGGCAGTGAGAGGGTCTAGTGATGTGAAAGTGCTTGCATATAGTAGCTTTAAGATGTGTAGGTTAGTTTAGAGTTAGGTGCAAATAATAAGTGTTAGCTGGTGGGTCCTGAACTAGCCAAAAGGTGTTTTGGAGGGAAAGGACATGGCAAGGACGAGGTGGTGGTGGTAGGTGGTAAAGAGGTGTGTGTTAGAGACCGTGAACTGTATCTACAGAAATTAACAATCAACACAGTGAAATTCAAAACTACACACTTTGTCTCTCACTAGCCTTAGAGACTTTCACCAGAAGTCTAATGCATCACATCTGTTATTCCATGTTACCATAATGTGTTCACCTATTCTAGTCATTGTATTTGACTAATGTCAATTTTATTTGGTTGAGTATGCATCATAGCAAGTATGCATCGTGCTGTTCCTACAGGATACTTTCTCCACTCATGTTGGTTAACATTATTCAAAGAAACAAAGGAATTCAGGAAGTTACTAGATTCATACTTTTGGTGTATCGTACTTGAGGGTGGCAAAAAAACATTGATACTTTCGACCAGAAACATCTATTGTTGTCGTTTGATGTTGTCTTCATATCAATATGGTTTTCTAGAAACATCAATGTTTTCAAAAGAGATTTCAAATGAGTTAGTTTCTGTTTTTTAATGCTTTTTGCATCATGAAATATGTTTTGACTGACTGATTGGAGGTCAATGTCAAAAAAAATTATTTAAGAAGAATAAAAATGTTCTTACCCCCCAAAAAAATTTTCAAACACTTTGTCTCGTGTTTTTTAATAATTTTGTTTGTTATTTTTTTCGATAATCGTTTGGTAGTAACGATAAACTACATTTTAAACCTTGTTAACATAGAATATTAATTACAATGAAAAGACAGAGTAATTTAATGCAGAATATACTTCAAAATAATATATTTATGAATTATACATCACGTTATATTCAGGATATTTCACTTGGATGATGAATGAAAGTAAATAAATGGAAAAATAGCCAAACACGAAGTCACTTATTTTTTAAACATTTTATGTGACGAAACAATAAAATATATCTCGTTGAAGTTCTATAATTAAAATGGAAATAGGATGAAAAATTCTACTTGTTTTATCATATGTAGACCATTGATGTTTTCAAAATTGTGAACAAAACCTATTGGTGATGTATCAATGTGCAAGTGAAATTTGCCATCACTTAACATACTATAACCTAAATTGGACAGGAATGTACGTGTATTATAAAAATTTGTACTTTGTAATAGATAAATAAGGATTCACAGATTCGTTCAAAGATTAAATATCATTCTATCAAGGTTGTATGATTGTGACACCAGTTCTTTCGCAGCGTTGCATTGGCGTTTCTTATGAAGGGTTTTGCTATTGCAGCTCTTCTGTGAATGTTAGCTTTGGAAGCCCCCACTTTACTGTTTTCGTGGAAACAGTGTTGCTCAAGTGAGCATTGAGTTCTGCGGTCACTATTCCTGTGGTAGTTTTATGCTTTTGTGCCACAATACTTTTCAATATGCCAGTGTCGTGTCAGTTAACTTTGGTTTTTACCCACTATCCCTCGTTGCCAATGTTTTACGATTTATGTATAGGCTATCTTTACCATGTACAATGTCATTCATGAATGTGTTAACAGTTAGCTATTTTTGTCTCAGATTATCCCTCTAAACATGCACCAACGATTTGCTCACTTTCGAAGGCAATGACACGCATTTCACCATTTGCTTGTGTAAACAATTGCAGACCAATGCCTATAATACACTGCAATATGACCTTCAAAATCTCAAATGTGAAATGCAGCTGTGTTGCATAGTTTTCACATCCACAGTGGTGCCAAAATGCAAAAAGATTAACCATATTCATGGTATTCATGTTATTTTCTCCAAAACCTGTACTTACACTGAAAAATGTTCAATCTCCTGAATTTCTTTTTAAAACAGTTTCCGGTTTAGTAAGTACACTGGCACTCCACTGGCTTTCTTTGTGCAGTGTTCAGTTTTTGACCGCATTTTCCATTATGACAACAAGAGTCTTGCAGAAGTGATCCAGAAGTCCCCTGATGTTCCCTGATAGGCCACTGAACAGATAACACTGAAAGCACTCATCTTCACGAATAGAAACACCACCTTCATAATCAAAAGAATCAACTATCAATTCACTCTATAAAAATTGATTGCTACAATCCACATTCCCTATCTTGTTAGCACTGATTCAAATAGCAATTATACATTTGGTATCTGCTGTTTGTAAGATAGCACTTCTTGCAGTGCCAGAGAAAACAACTGTTTTGTTGGTTCCCATAATTTTGTTTTTCACAAAAGTGAAGTTAGTTGTAATATATCGCAGTCAATGAGCCAACTTTGTTAAATAGACCATATTAGGATAAAATCTCTTTCATTCAGTAAAATCTTTAAGCGTGTATGCAGCAGTATCTGAACAGCGCATTCTACTCTTCAATTGAATCAGGCTGAGGAGAAAGGGAAGAAGTCATTTCTTGCCACTTTTCAAGAGGAAGGAAACGTTAAATAATGCTAACTCATGTTAAATTATACTGTCCAATTTTTCCATGTGAATTCACTAATGGTAGTCTAAATACTGGTATGGCATGATTAATTTCTTCACACTGCAATTTGCCTTGCCTTAAAGAACAACTTGCCAGCATAAGAAAAACAATTGCATTTTTGTTTTGTTCCCTTTCTCCTTATGCTGATTCAATTAGTTACAAATCTCAAGATATTTGAGTGATATGTTTTGTCCAGTTCTTTGCAGTAGATAAGCATGTCTGATGTGGTCAGTCCAGTTCTAGCTTTTCTCCCACAAGATTCACAAAACATTTCACACATCACTAGTTTCATCATCACAATCCATAAGAAAGAAAGTTCAATCTATCTTCTAATATT